CCTGCCAGCAAAACTTAGGAAATATGTAGGCCATAAAATCAAAGAAAGAAGCTTGCATCTAATTAGTATGCTTAACAAAAAAAAAAAAAAAAAGGAAGCAACCCAAACTTAAAAATAAAATTAAAATCAAAGAGGACAGACTGATGAGCTGGTTTTCTTTACGAGGCTTTGTTTTTCATGTGTTTTTTTTTTTTTTTTTGATGGAAGGGACGGTGGAGGCAGGAGGCGGAAAGAAGAACCAGATGGGCTCTAAGGAGTAGGCCTGAGCAGAGCCCCCGCCTCCAGCCCACCGGTGGAGCCCTATCCCCCTTTCAACCCCATCCCTGGCTACCACACCTAAATGCTAGGACCCTGGGTTCCTGATGTGTGGGTGATCACAGGCTGCTCAGAGAGATGGAGATGGGCCGTACCATATAGGCACACACTGCTCCCAACCACAGGGACACAGAAGACAGGCTGCTCCGACAGTGGGAGTCAGGGAGAGGCATGCCAAGGAAAGGGGGTCCAGAACCCTTTATTATCACCTTCCATAAGGAGAGAATATTTTTAAAAAATGGTCAGAGTCATGTTCAGGGATTCTCCGCCCTAAGCAATGTTGCCCTTGGCTTTAAATGTCACCTCTACACTAAAGACTCCAGGTCCCCTCAACCAGCACCTCTTCTGATCTCTAATGAGAATGTCCAACTCTCTGCTGACCGACTAAAGGATGCAGTCCCGACCTGTTCCCCAGAACTCACTGTGTAGCCAACAGAAACCAAGAGCCCCGACCAGCAACACCCCAGCCCCACCCAGTGCTCCAGCCTCCGCATCCTGCTCTGTCTCTGCTGATGTGCTGGCTCCTTACAAAGGCCTGGCTCTGGGCTTCTGCTCCCTCTGCCTGGAATATGCCTTTCTCTCAAGCGCCCCTCCTCTGGGACACCAACCCCCAGTCCTGGGAAGAAGTAGCCTCTCCGTCCTCTGCGACTCTGACTCCACACCCTGGTCTGTGCCTCCATCACTGACTCCTCACCACTCCCTTGGCACACTGTTCACAACTCTAACACAGCACTTATCACATTATAATTAGTTTTGTGTATTTCTCCTGACTAGACTGTGAATGCCTGAGGATAGGGAATCTCACTTTTCTTGTCTGTATCCAGCCCTGGATACAGAGCCTGGTACTGAGCAATGCTGTTGTTGTTGTTGTTGTTAAGTGCCGTCGAGTCGTTTCCGACTCATAGCGACCCCATGCACAGCAGAATGAAACACTGCCCGATCCCGCACCAGCCCCACAATCCCTGCTATACCTCGAGCCCATCATCGCAGCCACTGTATCAATCCATCTCGTTGAAGGCCTCCCCCTCTTTCGTCGACCCTCCACCCTACCAAGCATGACATCCTTCTCCAGGGAATGGTCCCTTCTTACAACATGACCAAAATAGGTGAGAAGAAGTCTGGCCATTCTTGCTTCCAAGGACTAGCTGAGCAGTTATTGGAGGGTACATTTCCCTTAGATTTGAATATGGCTGGTCATCTGTACACCCTTCTCCCAGAATATAAACTCCATGAGGGCAGGTGTGAGTGCCACCTTCAGAGCACAGTATCCAACACTGTGCCTCGCCCTGAGGAGTCCCAGTAAACGTCTGCCAACATAAATTCACACAAGAGTAGGGCTTAACTCAACATGTTTAGAACATTTATGGGGTTCCTATCATATGCTGGCACTGCTATGGTGCTGAGAATACATGTTAAGACAGGCAGAGCTGTGTCACAGAGTTTACATTTTTAATGTATGAGACAGACAAAATGAGTAAACAGACACATAAATAAAAACAATTACAGACTGTGATAAGGGCTAGGAAGGAAAATACACAGGGTGCTATGATGGAGAACAGCAGGCAGAGAGATGTGGATGGATTCAAGATTGAGTTAGAGGCAGACCTGGCAGAATTTATGAATGCCTGGATGTAGGCCTGGAAGAACGGGTGCAAGGATCTGGACAGAGGAGGAAGGAAAGGAAGCCACAAGGAAGAGAAACAAGAGCACGTCAGAATCTTGGCAGGACGCTCGCTTACTTGCTCATTCACCTGCTCACGCGCCCGTACCACTCACTCAACAAATATTTATTTAGCTTCTGGTAAGTGCCCAATGCTCTGACAGGCACTAAGGGAAGGGCCAGGATCTGAGGAAGACGGAGGCTCACTCACAGCAGTGGAAAATTCTGACTAACACCAAGTACACGTGCTAGAATTTCAGAAAGAGAAACACCCACCTACTATGTGTCAAGACCTGTTAAAAACACTTTCTTTCTCCGAGATCACTGTTTTGATTACAGGGATGCAATACAGGGAAAAGCCTAAATGCAGGAGAGCAGAGCTGAGAGTAATAGAAAGTTCTAATTGAACCTGTGGGCGTTAAAAGCAAATGCCATTTAAAGGCTGCAGTTGCAAATCAGCACAGCTACACCTTAGGGAGGAGGCGGAACGACACTTCGAGCAGTAATTCATGTGAGTCTGACACCAAGAACGAGATGGGAGCACCTAGGGTGCTGTTTCAGAAGGCACAGTGCTAGTTCACGAATGGTCCCCCTTTGAGCTCCTTTTTCTCTGAGGGAGAAGACAGTAAATCCCAGTGTCTCCAATGCTCCCGTCTCTGAAATGGGCACAATGGAGTCACCATGTCCCTCTGCCTAGGAAACCTTGTACTGACCGTGTGATTCCAGCCCTGACGTCTTCACTCACACTGTTCCTTCTTCCTAGAATGCCCTTGTCCCCAGCCTCTAAGACCCAGGTCAATGCCACCGCTTTTAGCTATGCATCACTTGTAATAATGGTGATGATGATAATGATCATACTCCATAACACTCATAAAACCCAAAACCAAACTCACTGCCACTGAGTCTATTCTGACCCATAGCAACCCCCACTGGGCTTCTGCGGTGTAGTAAATTACTTAGTGTGGCTTTTCTACCCATAAGTCTTTGTAAACTCCAAGGTGGGAATTGCTATTAGCAACTGAGGAGATCCTGATTGCTAAAGTCGCCCACCTGGGTTATTTCTGTTGGGCGTGGCACAATAGAATGTTCTGGGAGGTGCCCACTCTCTCTCAGGTGCTTAGAGTTCTGATGCTATGATTGGCTAGTTTGACCACTCTGCCGGGCTCAAAAGGAGGCCTCCTAGAGGCAGAACTCTCTCTGACTGCTGGTTGAGGAAGACGTGCTGCTGAAAGGGACATGCGCTACTGAAAGAGACATGTGCTGCTGGGAAAGAGATGCAAGAGACATGCATCGCTGAGTGAGACACCGAGGGACCAGCACTGCTGAAGGAGAGACTGTGAGAGACTTGACTGAGAGACAGTGGGCTGGGAAAGAGACTGAGCATTTTTTCCTGAACTTGAATTGTAGCCTGTGGTGCTTCCCTAATAAACCCCATAATCTGTGAGCTCTGTGTGGCCACTGCAGAGAATTATCGAACCCAGGAGAGAGGTGGTGGGTGCTCTGGGAGGAACGGTTGGAGAAAGGGCTGGAGGAAAGCAGTATGTCTGGCCTCACAGGAATAGGCCTTGGGCTATTGATGGTGAGTCTGCCTTCCTCTTGTGGGGTTTTAGGAGATCAGAATATGAGGCCTCCTTGTCCTTTTTGCAGCTTCTGAGGTGGTAAATCTTTATGGAAGCAAATCGCCCCATCTTCCTTCTGTGAAGTGGTTGGTGGGTTTGAACTGCCAGTCTTCTGGTTAGCAGTCACATGCCTTAGGCACTGTGCCACCAGAGCTCCCTATAATACTCATAATAACTAATATTTACTGAGAACTTACTTAGGGTCAGACGTTTTACATATATCATCTCCTTTAATCCTTTCAACCATTATTTGAAGTCATGGAGCAATACAGAATCTTATCTGAGGAAACACAGTAAATAGCAGAGCCAAGGAGCTCTGGTGGCATAGTGCCTAAGGCACTTGACTGCTAACCAGAAGTCTGGCAGTTCAAACCCACCAGCCACTCCTTGGAAGGAAGGCTGGGCAATCTACTTCCATAGTGATACTGCCTTGGAAATCCAAGAAGGGGTCGCTATCAGTCAGTCTGACTTGATGCACATAACAACAAGACTTAAATTTAAGAGTGTGATCCCAGAGCCCACCTCTTAACCTCTCTTTGATTTATAATGTGCATTATTTACCTTAGCATCTCATCTCCCACCTACAATAGGAACTATAAGCAACTTAAAGGAAACCCTTCTGAGTAAATCTAGCCCAACCCTTCATTTTAGAAGTGGGTAGTGTGAGGGTGAGAGAAGAAAAATGATTTGCCTGTAGTGAATGGTCCATCTTGGTTAGCTTTGAATTGTGGTGCTGTCAGTCAATAAAGCCAATAGTGGCCAATTCGTGCCAGGTATGTCAGTCTGTGCTGCCTGGTTAGTCACCAGGTGGCCCAAGGGCAAGGCTGCATCACAGAGCCCAGTCCAGGGCCATGCCTTATGACCAAGGGCTTGCTCACTGACCAAGGCCTTTTTCGGAGCCACTCCAGCTGGGTCAAGCACATGATCCAACTGTGTCTGGGGACTCTTTGGGCAAGACAGGGAAGGAGAAAACCTCATACTCAGTGAACTTAATATATGCCAGGCCCTAGACTGGACACTGTCATGTATGACCTCATGCTCACACAGACCGAGCTGGGGCTAGAAAGCAAACACGCTCTTTCTACTCCACCACACTGCCTCACACCCACTTTCTTCTGTCCTGCATAATGTTAATCATTTCTTGTTACTTCCTTGTTTTTTGCTTTGTTTTTTTTTAAAACAAGTATTTTCAAGCCTTAGTACTTCTTGTTTGTTATGTTTTTTAAATCCTGGAATCGGAGGGCTGGAGGCAGAGAAGATCTAGGCTAGTTTTTGGTGTTCCGACAAAGATGATTCAGACACACAGAGAACACTGTGCACTGAACACCAGGGCTACTGACAGGGACCCAGAAAACAACCATCATCTAACTCCTCAGAGACTCAGGCCCAAGTGCTACCCAGCTTACCCTTGATGATGTGCCTGACAATCTTGATGGAGCTTCCACGCATGTTTAGGATCTGGTGAACCCTCTGACGAATCTAGTAAGGAAGGGGAAGGATGGGGAGAGAAAGAAAAGATCACTGGTCCTGGCACAGCTTACGGGAAGTATTCACCCCAGCCCCATCCCTATCCCTGGAAGGGAGCCCTCCAGGGGAAGCCCCTCGTACCTGGGGGACATTGGCATTGCAGATCTCAGCCATGATGTAGCAGATATGCTGGAGAACAAAGAGGCCTGCGTCCAAGCGCCGGAGGTAGAACTCATCTTCAATGTCATTGTCTATGATCTCTCCACGTCGAACCATGTCCTGAAACAAGTGAGCATTTGGGAATGAAAGCTGGACAGTGAGCAGAGGAGAACAGGCCACTATTCTGCCCGAAACTCATAGACAACAGCAACCACAAAACAAAGAAACCACTCCACCTCGCTTTGTCTTCCACTTCTCATTATTCCAAAGTATTTGTCTAATGGGCCTCATTCTTAATAGACCACAGAGGCCCCAGGAGTCAAGCCTTAAACTCATTTTTTTCTATATGATGAGTCAGGGTCAAAATGATCCTATCCACGTATTTAACCTAAAAAATTAGCAGAAGTGCCTTAAATCTAAGCTTTACCGGCTTCTACTAATTCTCTTTTCTTTGGTGCAGTTCTCCCTAAACTACTCCTCTACAGAGCATACTCAATCCTCACTTCCAGATCAAGTGAACCACAGGGAAGAGAGGTGCCCTTTGTCCCCAGCGCTGTCCCGGTACACTGGTGAAACTGACGGCACAAGTGCCCGATGTGTGTCTATTTGCCTCTTCTGGCTTACCTTCTGTCCACTGCAAAATGCTGTCAGTCTCTCCATTTTCTGTCACAAATCCAACAGTCTTTTAGGCCAAAGCCCTAATACGTGGCAGGGGTCTCTTGTGTAAGCCTTCATAACCCCAGACTTCTTAGACTCGCTGCTCCTTATCTATTCTTTAGTGGACTTTAAAAAATTTTATGCTTTTGAGTTTTGTTTCACACTTTTCTCCTACTCTATCCAGAACCTCCTATTGAAGATACTGTATTTAAGGCTAACAACAGCCCCTTTCCAAAATTCATGAGAGCACCCCTAGGAGCCCACTCTATAACACCATGTCTTCTGGCCTATTACATTCCTACTGGTCTCAGTCAGCAATGCCTCCCACTGTCTCCACAACCTTGATGTCATGAGGGTGGACTGTGAGCTCTGTGAAGGCAGGGACCGAACTGTCTCCATGTTCCCAGCTCAGTAAACACTCATGCAGTGAATGAGAAAATGAAGACAACTCTGTTTTGGGAGTTCTCAGGAGTGACGACGGGTGGGGAACTCAACTCTGCACAAAGAACAAATTGGCCTAAGAAGGCAATGCTTACACAGCCTTTGGATGGCAACAGTCCATTTCTTAATTCTGTCATTAGTTTTATGGCCATCGCTCTCTCTGACAACTCAGTCACTGACAAAAGCCCCTGGGACCCCGCTTCCACTCTCCCAAACTCGAAGGACTTACCACTGTGGTCATTAATCTCCAACAAGAAGCCTTAAGAGACAATTTAGACGCAGATAATACACTCTTTATTTGCCCAGGGGGCCAGCCTGTACCACTACAAGGCTACTTTCCATCTCGCTCTTAAAGGCTTCTGTCTATGAGCAAAAGAGTGCTGCATGTTGCTAGGCCCTGTGTTGCCTGGCAAATTACCACGACTAATTCCTAGCTTCATTTAGTAGCAAATTCGTTGGTAATCTGGTAATAGTACTAATGTTCATGAGGTAGTCATGGAGCACTGATCTGATGTCCAAGGTATTTAAAAATAGAAGGGCCTCTTTAGTTTCTCATTTACTCATAATCATAACTTCCTGCTCCAGAACTCCTAAGTGTTCTGTTCAGCAGCTGGGGGCCAGGAAGGAAAATTACTTCTGACTTTCACTCATGCAAAAAGCATTTGCTGCTGCTACTTTATAATGCTGTAGAGTTGAAAAAGGTTTTTTTTTTTCCCTCCCTCCACATATATGATCCTTACTACCAGATTTAAAGAGGACAGGGCAGGGATTATTAATTCCACTGAATACATTAAAGACTAACGCACAGAGAGATTAAGTTGCTCACGATCATGTAATTATCAGTTACCAGACTGTGGATTCCCTGGGGACAGGAATTCTGATTCATCTCTGACATGGATATGAGTAACATGCAGTGGAGTGTTTGAACCCCTGCCCTATTATACGCCTAGTGGCTGAACCAGGCTGAACCAATCTAAGTACTGTGTTAAGCAGAAAAAGGTGGGAAGTGAAGGTAAGGGAAAGCCCTGATTTTGGTGACTGAGAAGCTGACTGTCTGTCTGGAAGCTGTAGGAAATGACCAGACAGTGAAGGGATATAGTGTACCTAAGTTAAAAATAATTATAAGTATGAGTGCTGATCAAGACTGGTTAAGATGTTAGGGCTTCCTGGAAGAAGGGACTTTGGGGTAAGGTATTAAGGCTCATGATAGGCAGAGACAGTAGAGTGAATGCCTTAAAGGTAAGGTCTTTCCACCATCCAAGGCATTTTACAAAAGGCCTTCTGTTGTTCACTTTCTGCTCACTAGTCCCCCCATAAACATAGCACATCCAGGCCTGCCCTCCTCTTTCTGATCTTCTCACCTTTGTCTTAATGCTGGTACTCCCCCCCTCCCAGTCCCAAGTTCTATCATAATACATTTAAAGTCTAAAATGTAATGTTTCTTACAAAAAAACTGACCTGCGATCCCCAAGCAGACATGATTTTACAGCCCTTAAAACTCCCAAGCCCTGAACTTGTACCTTTTTGATACTAAGGCGATGTCCTGCCTTCTAACAGTGACTGGGATGTGTGCCTCTTTCCTGTACAGGTTCCTTGAAAGCAGGGATTGTGTTTCCCTTGCCTTTATACCCTAGAAAGCACCTTGCATGGTGCTTTTTGCTTAGTAGGCTCTCAGAAAGCACCTATCAACCAGGGTTTAGGTAGAAGGCTTACAGCTAGTTAATGAGCGGTACGTGCTAAGACTTGTGTGGCTGGGTCAATGGGGAAACATCAAGAAATGGTGAGGGACAAAGCCTTAGAGGGCTAGTTGGTGGGAGGCTCGAATGCTGGTCAGAGAAGTTAGTTAGACGTGATGGGTGGCAGACTGTCAGTCAGTACCATGCGGGAAAATATCGTGAGCGAGAATATGCAAACAGCAGTATGAGGGCTACTTGGCTTAAAGGATGGAAAAGGCAGGCATGCCGCATAGTTGGGAGGCCACAGCAGCAGCCTGCGTAAGAAGCAGATCAGATGGAGAGAAGACGACCTCGAGAGGTTGCAAACGTGGGAATCTAGAGGGTAATGCGTTTACCCAACCACCAGTTAAGCTTTCCCGAACTATGTGCCAGGTACTGTGTGATGTGCTGGGGGAAGCAAAGATCAGTGAAATAGTCCATATAGTAACACGAACAAATTATTTATCAAAAATGTGGCAATGGACTTCTCAAAGAGTACAGAGTGCCATAGGAACCCAGAAGAAAGATAGACTAAGTCTGTCTGGGAGAATTAAGAGAGTTCAAAGGAAATGTAGCATTTGAGCTAGATTCTGAAGGAGCTTAACAAGCTGGGAAGGACATCCCAAGCAAAGGAAGAATAGTGCGATAAAGCATAGAAAAGTCAATTTGGCTAGTGTGGGAAAGAACAGTG